CCAGGTCAGCAAGAGATCACGCAGCACACAGGTGAGCGATGAGTTTGTGAAGAGGCAGACCGAGGCAGCGCCGAGTCAAGCGGCCCCTCCAGAGGAGCCTTGTGCGGATCAAATGGCCAGGCTAAGTAAGGTCGTTGACTTGCTGGAGCAGCTCGCCCATGCTGGCCTTCCTACGCTCATCAACGCCTTTTACAGATCAGGTGACTTTACCAAGCACCACGGCACCTTCCATGGTGATCCATCGACAGCCAGCTTTCCGCGAGTAGGGAACTGGAACTTAGCGCTGACGGGTTCCCTCCTGTGTCCACCATTACGCGCAATCTACAAGGACGTCTCCAACTTCGGTTCCTTTATGGAAGCGTTCACGGTGTGCAACGCAAAGAAGCAACCACGCCCCCCGTGGTACCAACACTACCAGCTTCTCGTGACCCTGATCGCAGCGATGACTGACACATGCACCCCGGACACGTACGATGCGCTCAAGGTGAACTCCAACCCTGCGGAATTTATCCATGTCTTCCGGACCCATGAACGGACAACCCCGGCAAAAGGTGAAGCGGGCACCGGCTTGAGTCACCTCCTACATGCTGATCCTACGGAAGACGCCCCGCTATCAGTCCTACCGCTCCAGACTGTGGGCACACAGGAAGCCAGCACCATCGACCACGAGACGGAGAGCTCCTCTGATGATGTGAAGGTGGTCGCACTTAGGGAGCCTGCCCCGTGCACGGAGGCCCCTCGTCCCTCTCAGGCACCTACGGACCACAAACTCATCGGTGGTCATCAGGTGCGACAGCCGCCACAACCGCCATCAAAATCGACTACAGAGGAGACAGGGACCAAGCACTGGATGCGTGCAAACGGCACCCCAGCTCGTGTGCGCGGGGAACGAGCCAAGGAGATTTCCAAAGCCCTCACGCAGATCCTTCGACATGCGGCGCCCAGAATTGGACTGCATATCCAAGATGACGGCTACGTCGCTATGGGAGACCTATTGCAGGCCCCACGCATCTGGAACCAATGGATCACAGAGGCGGAGATCGTCGACGTAATCCACTACAACCAGAAGAATAGGTTCGAGATCTCCCACCGCGACGGCGCCTACCTAGTACGTGCCCGACAAGGCCACTCCATTGACCACATCCAGAACGAGCTGATCCTCACTCGCCTCACAGTCGATGACACCCCTGAATTCGTTGCCCACGGGACATACTACGACTTCTACGAGAGCATTGTACGTTACGGACTGATGGCCGGAGGCAGGCAAGGACAATCCTTCCGCCGTCATGTACATTTGGTTGAGCAGCTCCCAGGATCGGATGTCGTGTCGGGCATGCGCAGCGACTGTGATTTGGTGCTCTGGATTAGCGCGCAAAGTGCTGCGGTCTCGGGCATCACCTTCTACAGGTCGGCGAATGATGTCATCCTCACGGAAGCCACCATCGACCCGGCTTTCTTCCACAGTGTTCAGATCATGCAGAGCCTGGAGGTGTTGACCGCCGATGGCGGTCCACCACACCCGCAACAGGTTGCACTGGCGATTTCGCGCGCCTCCTCGCGCGACGCACAGCGCCACGGGCAATACATGAGGGTTGTGTGTGCTCATGCCATTGTGCCCCATCGCTTGACATCCCTGCATGCCTCCAACACTCACGCACCTGTACCACTGCCACGCAGGACAGGCGGCTTGCCGCTGGGAAGCCGAGTCAGGAGACTCTGGAGAGACTGCCGCATGCCCAATAGACTACGCAAAATCCGAATTGGCTGCACAGTCAAAAAACGCAGGCGCAGACGCGCCAAAGGTCTCCGCCGCGGACCCAAGTGCACCACCTGCATTCTCCGCAGCATTGGCCGTGTGCTCGGGCAAGGTATCCACTGTCTTCACTGTCTGTATTCTGACTTTGAGGTGGTTTGGCATAATACAGGGAATAAACCAGGGCTAAATACCACTAATATGCTGTACAGCCATGTGCAAAGGACCAGGGTGTGCAGGCAACTGCCCCCTCCTACTGGGAGCGATGTATCACACCGCCCCAATGAGAACAATCACTTCACCCCAAGCAGCCGGCCCGGTCCCAAGTCCGGGGTGGGGAGCTGTTTCACTGTCCTGATCATGATGATTCAAGCACAGCTCACCCACAGTGTGAGGGTTCCAGCTCTCTCCGCTGGAGCTGGGGAAGGCAACCCGTATGCACATTTAAGCTCTCGCCATGTGCCGAAGCCAAGCGGGATACAGGTCGTATATGGGAAGCAGGATCCTACTCACGATTGGAATAGATATGTCAAGAGATCTTTTAAGAGAGCATGCCGTCAGGCCATTACACATGGACGCGCCACCTACAAAGGTCGCACACTCACTGTTCAAACCTCTCCCTCCGAGCAACCGCACACTGTTGTGCAACCCCCAGCGCCACTTAAAGGTATACTGCCACAACGTCGGGGGCCTAGGTTCGGGGATGTACGAGGATTTGATGGGGTTCCTGGATCAATCTCACTATGACATCGTGCTTGTGCAAGAGACCAAACTTAGAGAAGCTAGCGAGTACACCACTGCTCGCTGGATATGCGTTGGCTCTGGCACCACTGCTCAGAAACATGCCGGAGTTATGATCCTTGTTCGGAAATCACTCACTAATGTGCAGGAGGTCAGGCATGATGCTGTGATCCCAGGTCGACTACTTCGAGTGCGATTCCCCCTGGGAACCACTGGCCGCTTACTCAGTGTAGTCTGCGCCTATCAGTATGCTTGGAACCCCAAAGACCCTGCAATCCTCGACAAGCGTAGTGATTTTTGGCATAAACTTCGCCATTGCATAGGAGGGATTCCCTACCGTGAAGCCCTGGTCGTTGGAGGCGATCTGAATGTCCAACTTACTCCCAAACGCCCTTGTGTTGGACATGGTACGGGTGCCCTCTCCCCTGAACGGGCCCCGGACGCTGATGCCCTGCACACGTTGCTCTCCGCGCACACCCTCGTCGCGCTTAACACTTGGGGAAAGCCAGGCAAAGGAGCACACACGTTTACGTTTGGGAAGCATCAAGCACAGTTAGATTACCTCCTCATGCGCGCCAGCCAAACCACGAGAATGGCAAGACAGGCACGCCCGCTGCACACGTGCCCTGTTGGTGGGTGGCGTCAAGGAGGGGGGGATTCACACGCCTATTGTTGCTTCGCTCCCCTTCTTTTATCACGTATACCATAAGCCAACTGAGCTTAAGCCGAAAGTCGACGCAACACAAATCGTGCAGCTCGCGCAAGCGAAAGACCCACACAGTGACCCCGCTGTTGCCCGATTCAGGTCCGAAGTTCAAGAGCAACTCACTGCTGTGAATACTGTGTCCGATGCGGGCAATATATCCCAAATTGTGTGCCACGTTGCGGCAAAATACTTCCCTCAAGAAACGCCACATACTGACAAACTCGCCAGATGGCAGGAACCGCATATCAAACAGGGCATTAAGGATATGTGGAAGGCCTGGAGGAAGTACCGTAGCTGTAACAAGGACACCACCCTGAAAGCGGCCATTGGACGCTGGAAGACATGGGAGTTAGCCATAGCCTTGCCTCAACTCATGTTTCACCCCGCTCAACGCTCATTCGTTTTTTCCCTAGGGGGGGGTATACGTTTTCAACATTTCAATAAATTTTTCCTCATTTTTGACATCCTACCCTCAACCATTCCTCACAAAAAATCTCAATAAAAAATCAATAATTTTATGATAAAAAAATATTAAAAATTTCATCATAAAATTTTCCAAAATTTTCATAAAAATATTATTTTCAAAATTTTCATCTTAAAAATCTTCCGAAAAATATTTGTTGAAAAGTTGCATTTTTAAAAAATATCTTTGTAAAAAATCCTTGTAAAAAATCTTTGTAAAAAATCTAAACATATTTATCGCCCTCCTTTACAACCTTATAATATTCCATTGTTTCCGGTTTAGGCTGTAAAATTGCTCCTTCGTTTAATTTCTTGATATAGGCGTTTCTTTTGTTTGTATATGATGCTTCGGTATTTAAATTGCTTGTTCTGGATTTAGGTTTTTCACTAATAGCCCAATTTTCTCTAACATCAAATCCATTTTACGATGCACCTCTGAAATCATATCATAAACCTTTTCATTAAATTCTTGCGCTTCTTCCTCCTTCGGTTTTTCTACTATGGTTTCCTCTTTAACAACCTTGGTTTTGCTAACGGGCATATATACAATATAATATAAAAGTTTTTTTTAAAACTAAATCTTTTTAAAACTTTTCCTTGTCGCTCATACAGCAGTTGCATTTTTTGCAATATGCTATGCAGTTGCTTATAGTGTGAGTTTGGTCGTTAAATTTTCTTTGCGCCGTCAGGTTCGTTCTTATATTTCCGTTTATTGACTTTACATAAAAATCTACATTGCATAATTCGCACCTCCCGTTCAATCTATCTAATAACCAATCTGCCGTAATATAGTTTTTATGGTCAATTTTCCTTTTAGCTTTTCTGTCTTGCTCCTTATATCCTTCCACCTTTCTTTTCAAATAGTTGTAAATACAGTTTTTATTAAAATCGTCGTCATCATCATCATATTTATAAAAGCTCACATTATTTAAATCAGTTGCCCTCGTGATCGCTGTCCATATCCAATTCTTATCTACCAAACAATGATTGTAATCAAATATTGTTATACCTCCCTCTATGCTGGAACCTTGGACACTGTGGCAGGTATAACAATAATTAAATATAAAATGCTTCCTCAACATATCTAACGGCAATTTTTGTATTTTCTTATCGTGCTCGTCTTCCAACACCACCATATTTTCAATGATGTTTAAAATCTTGTATTTAAAATTTACTTGAAATTTATATTCTGTTGATTTTAAATGCTCTCTGCATATCATCACCTCGCCTACTTCATATTCGCCCTTTCTATTTTGCTTTTTTCTTATTTGGTTTGCTACTTCCTTGCAGGTGTCGTTCAAATAAGCTACATTATTTTCGTTTAGGTTCATGTCGGAAGTGTATTTGAAATATTTTTCTGCTAGCTCTCTGACCTTAATGTTATTTTCAAAAATGTCGATATAAATATTTTCTAATCTTTTCCTGTCTTCCTCTTTTCTTAACCTCTTACAAACTTTCAAATAAATATTATATTTAAAAATCTTATCAACACAATTATCAGCATATTCTTCGTGCTCCTGTAAATTTGTTAATTCCGATACTGGTTTTAATTGCTTACCATCTCCTGTTGCCACTATTATTTTATCTTGGTTGTTTTCAACAAACTCCCTAATTCTATTCAATACCCTTAAACCATTAAAATAAATCTCGTCAAACACTATAACATCATAACCGGAATAATCAAACTTTTCTAACTTCTCGTCACCGACTGCTATGGAAAAGAACTTATTAACTGTTACCGCTTCCTTTCCGTATTTTTGGACTAGCTTATTTGTAGGACATACAAATAAAACATTCATTCCCATTCGCGCCATTTTTTCACAAATATAACTTTTTCCGGATCCTGCATATTTTGCCCTGATCATAACATGTTTAGCGCTAATAACTTTTTCTATGATATTTGTTGTATCATATTCGTCCTTAATTTTTATTGCTGTATTCTTGTATATCGGGATTTTATCCAGTTCGTTCTTTTTCCTTTGATATGTTTCGCTCGGCAGTTTTATTTCCTCTCCTTCTTTATTCGTTCTCCATTCTCCTATACCAGCTTTCATTTCCAATACTTCCCTCGCTTTTTCCACATCTTCGGATTTAATAACAAATGCATCTGTTTTTACACTAACCGCCTTTATATAATTTTTCCTCAATTTGATGTAATCCTGACACATTTTAAAATTATGATCTTGAAGCAACAGCTCTTTTATGTAAATAAAACCGTTGTTTAATGTTGCCTTGTCTGAAACATTAACCAAATAATATTCCATACCTTCTTCTTCTGTTGCCTGTAATTGCATATAAAAATCATCGTTTTCTATATCGCCTTCGTAAGTTGTTTCGTTTCTACATTCCATTTCTGTTATTTTGTGAATTTTACCTCCGTGCCTTAATTGAAAATCCGATGCCTCCCTAATGTTCTTAAAGACGATGCTTTTTTGATCAGTGCTACCCGTTTTTTCCAAAAGTCCGATATTGACATTTACAATAAGTTTTTTAATCAGTTTATCCAGTTCCTCTTCGTCGCTAATATTTTTGTTCCATAATTCTTTTACATAATCGTTATAATTTACCTCGTGAATAAAGGATGGTGTCTTATAATACAATATGTTCAGTTTATTAGTGTCAATTTGTTTCAAATATTTTCCATAAATCAGGTTATACCTCTTGTTAAACATTAAAAAAGTGCTGGCTTTTACAATTCCACAGTGACTACAATCTTCAACGAAAAATAAAGTGTAGTCCGACATCGTGTTAAAACCCATCTCTTTAAGGTAGTTTTTCCAGACATCGAACTGATTGAAAACAGGCACCTGTGTAATCCCTACTAGTCTGCTTGTGTAAGCTTTGGTTATGTCAATCTCGGTTAGGTTTTTTGGTATGGAACCCTTGTCTGTGAAAAGTCCTGCTGGCGGTATGGTTTTTGCTTCGTGGTAAATTTCCAAATCAACTTTGTTATAAAACGACTTGTGCAATGGATTAAACAGACTTTTGTTAAAATGAAACATTGCATCGTTCATATTGTTGTATGTTTTTTCGTTATCAACTGCTATACATCCATCAGAAGAGTCCTTAATCAGGTTTTGGGTTTTTATTATAAAGGTGGTTTTTTTAAGTTTCATTTTTATTTGTGTTATAATGCCTGCTTGAAATCTGATCTGTGGCTCATATCTAGCATTCACTAGTTCAAAAAATATTTCGGTTAAATTGTTAAGTTCAGGCACTAAATGAATAGTTTTTGGCTCTTTATCTTTACTGGCCATTTTTAAAATATCGTGTGTATCTCTGAACATTTTAAATTCAGGTGGCTCTTCTTTTTCGTTTAAATGGTAGTCTGTGGAGGCTTTCACCATTGGTCTTTTTTCTTCTTCGTCTTGTTTCTGTTCTATACTTTTTAGATCGTTATTTATCGTGTATATATGGCTGTTTTTTACAATGGCATAAAACGGCTTTATTCTTCGTTTGTTGTGCTCGGGCTCGTGTTTATAAATCAGTTTGTTGAAGCTGTTGTAAATTCTAGCTGGTATTTTGAATGCCTTAAATACCTTATCCATTTCTTCAATACTCGCTCCATTGCTATAAAAATCGCTTCTGCCTATAATTTCAATAATTTTTTCCCTAGTCAGTTGATTTCTTTTGCCATAGTCCATTAAGGTATCTTGGTAAAAATCGGATAGTGAATTTATCCAACATTGATTTTCTACATGAGTGCTATTTTCAATTGCTTGTCTCAATGTTGTTAAGTTGCTGTTAATGTCGGTGTAAATATAGCGATGATACATCGATACATGTTGTATTCCATCGGTTAGGCTTTCCTTCATTATGTCAAATTTCTCACCGCTTT